GTACTTGGATAAATTTATTCTATCTGCTCACTCAAGTACTCTGTTTTCCTTTGATTATTTTTTTCATGCATGTCTCTGTATCTCAAGTCAACAAATTTCCAAACTTTGGCATTAATTCCTTACTGTAGTTGTCATCAGCGTTCCTTCTAAGCTGTGTGGCCAGCGCAGCATGAGCGCACCTGCATGGCCACGCACACCACAGCTCAGAGGGAATGCTGCTTGTCATGGTAACTAAGCAGGCTATAATCACCGTACACAGAGCCCCAAACCTAGCTTAACGCTTTACAGCTGCAATGTCATGGTAAAAGATTTTAGTGGGTCAAAGATGTTATTAACTGAGGTGTTAGGCATCAGCTCAACAGAAACAGGTTCAAACTGAAGTCTGCTAACTTGACTAATTTCTGAACTCCAGGATTCACAAACTGTTTGAGGAGGACGGCATCACTGGGACCTGCAGCACCTACATTCCCAAGGACAAGGGAGGCTGAGGTTCTGAGATCAAGCAGAACAGTTATGTTCAACCTAGCGTGACCTTAGTTCCCAGGCTCATTTATTCACTTTGAAATTAGTGCAACAGAACCCCTCCCATCTTACATGTGCCTCCTGTAATACTGAAGCGTACAATCATGTTTAGCATTGAGCGAACACACAGAGAAGCAGCCTCTGTTCAGGTCTGGACTGTGTGCTGTAATGTGATCCATTTAATTGGCATTAACTGCTAAGCAGTAAACCTCCAGTGTGAGGGAGGGGCTGGGAGGAATAGTTGAGTCCTGCACAAAGGTCAATAAAACTTAAGGGTGCCACTATCACCTGGAACTGGTGTGTGTGCGGTAACTGAGACAGGCAACAAAGTATGTTTTGTAGCAAAATCTGCTAAATGGTGGGTGTGTGCATATTTCCAAGGGAGGCTATAACAACAGCTCTTCTGTGAGCTTTATTGTCCTCATAGCTGAGTTGAATTGCCTCTTGAACAATAGAGAAGCAGCTTCAGAAGATGACTTGTTTATAGGGCAAGGGGTCTTGGTTTCCAACTGTGACTAGCTGGCAAAGGTTAAATTAAAGGATCTTTTCATGGAGTCAATGAGAGCTGGTAGAGAAGTTACTGGATGAGAAGCAGGAGACCTGCATTCTTCTAGCTCTAACGCTGGCTTGCTGGGTGATCTTGAACATGTTCCTTTATAATGATTCTTGTCTTCTTTGTCTGGTGCTTTGAGATCTAGGTATGAGGACTGCTAAATGAATAAATATATAAGAATAAGCATTCTAGTTTCTTGCAATGACTGAAGCTTATGGTATCTTCCAAGATCTTTCCGGGAACATTTACCTCTCCCCAGAGTCAGTTACTTTATATTTTATTCCAGTAAGCAGAAAAAGAAGGGAGTGATTTGAAACGTCTGCAGGTGGTTCTGCCCTTTGCAACTGAGAGGAGAGGGCTTGGGGGAGAAAGGCAGGAAGAAGCCACCAGGAGTTGGGTGGAGTATTCACTGGGAAGTAAGTGACTGGAAATCACCACCAGATAGGACAAAGAGTTGTGGACACTTGTCATGGTACTGGCTGTATAATGAAGATTGTTGGAGGGACTATAAATGGGAGAAACTAGGTGGAGACACTAGTTCTCCCTACTGCACAAGGTAAAAACTGCAGCCTCCTGTAATAAGTAAGTAAGATGTGGCCTAATGTCACACCTTTCAGCTCTATGTCCACTAAGTCTCTCTGCATCTTCTAATCTCCATTATGACTAAAAATGCATATGGGAAGTGTGAAGGGGAGATATGCTTCTGCCATACAAAAGGTGTGAAATTTTAGGAGACAGGAGTTGGAGACAGAACTAGGGCTCTTATTTTTTTTAAAAAGTGTGCAGGGGGGAAGCTTTAGTGCTGAAGCTGAAATGGACCCTTCATTAGCTGCGGTCATGTTGGAGGTTGCATGTGTTCCAGCTGCCCCACGGTAGGGATGACTGCTTTCCCCCACTGTTCTCAGAGAGGAGGTCACAGGGCTGCCCTGGGGAGTGCCATGCTTTAGTAATGTCGTGAGCTTCTAAGGAGGCAGGCTAATCTGCAGCCAGGAGGAAAGAGGTAGGGTGGGGATCTGCAGGGAAGCAATGAAGGTGGTGTGCAGGAGGACTGAAGGGTGAACCAAGAGAGCGTGCAGGATAGGAGTCCAGCAAAGGGATGGAAATGGGAGGGGTTGGAAGAGATGGAGTCTAAGGCAGTGGTTTTCAAACTTCCTATAGTCACACAACCTTTTTGTATCACTGCTGCCATAGAAACCCTACCCCCATCTTAAAGAGCTGGCACAGAGCCAGGTGACCCAGCCTGGCAATGGTGGCGTACCGCTTCCCGACCTGCTCGGCCATTACCGCAGTCTCTTTGCAGAGCCCCTGATGACCAGGGTTTGGTGAAACACACTGAAAACCAAGACACACAGGGGAAAGGGGTGATGGAAAAGAGAAACATATAGTGGGGAGCAGAGAGGCAGAGTGTGAGTGGGAAAAGGGGTCTAGGGCAGTGCTAAGTGACTCGAGCGATGCCTAGTCCCTGTGCCCCGAGCTGCAGGCGAGGATGCACGGTGTCACATGAGGCAGCCGGCAGGAAAGCCGTGTTTGGGAAGTTATGCACACCGGCAGAGCTGAACTTTTGCGGAAGGGGGTGCAGATAGCGAGGGGCATCATCACATATGAAAACAACATGTAGTTTTCTCCTGTTAAAAATAAACTAGAAGCTTTATTAACGTGCTAGGGGCCCTAAGCTGTGTTACTCCGTTTAAGGTGGAAGCAGGAACAAACCTAACTTCACGGGAGCTCGTTCACAACACCCGGCGGCTGCGCCACAGGAGCCGGTCCGGGAGCAGATGGCAGCCTTGCACAGCAAAGAGCAGCTTGACTGGTGGAGCGGCAAGACTTTAACAAGGCAGAGCGGCCAGGGCGCCTCTGGGACCAAGAACGCAGAAAGGGGCAGGTAGATGACAAAGAGCCGTGAAGTCAAGAGACTTCCTCAGCACTGCCAGGCTTTGGGGTTTAAACTGTGGGTGGAGCAGGAATCAAAGCGGGGTGCAAGTGCACCAGGGCACCCCCCACGTCAGTGCAAGCCAGGCGGTGGTGTCTGCAGGCCGTGGCTGGCGTGAGGGCTTGGGGGCCACAAGGCGGGTTCATGCACTTCTTGCTGTTTTTGTTTGCAAATCTCCTTATTTTTTTGCGCACATCTCAAGCACTCTGGGGTCGCGGCCCTGATTTGTGACCCGTGATTCCTGGGGTCAGGGCAGGAGGAGGCAGGGGAGTGCGTGCTGCGAGACCCCCCGGCTCAGCCCACCTGCGCCCAGGGCCCTTCATGGCCCTCCGCTCCCCCCGGGCCTCGGGCAGTGGTACGTTCCGCCGCGGCACCTTCCCCGCTCCTCCCTCCCCCGG